TTGAGTCACCAGCTGCATGTACCTAAGAAGGCCCTTTCCAAAGGGTATATTTACACAGTACAGAATAAAGAGTCCTTGCTAAAAGGATGAAAACCCAGAGAGAAATTTATATTTTAGGGATGGCAAAGAAATCCTATACAAACTTTTTTTTTTTTCCTCCCTATGGTACTGGAGATTAAATCTAGAACTGCTCTACCACTGAGCCATATCCCCAACCTTTTTTGCTTTTTATTTTGACATAGTGTCTCAATAGGTTGCTGAGACTGGCCTCAAACTTGCAATGCTCCTGCCTTAGCCTTCTGAGTAGCTAGAATTACAGGACAAATATCCCTTTAGAGGGTCTCTGAATAAAATCAATTTTCTTTCAAGAACTTTACCGTGAAATTGCAATGGACACTCTGACAGCTGAACGAAATCTGGATAAGCCCTTTGGGCGGCTGATGAACTCCAGATTGGTGAAGGCTGGCTGACCCCCCATCCGGGCAAGCAGCATTATGGTTGCATCCTCGCATTCTTGGAATTCGCCCAATAATTGCAGCAGGTATTTCTTCTGATAAATGAGAGCTTTYCGAAAACTTTCTGCCCTCAAGTATTTACCATAAGTCCTCTACATTTAAAGAAGGGAAGAACATAAAGTCATTATTAAGAAGTCATTCAAATTGTTCTCTAGGGGATGATTATTACCTAGATTAAAAAAAAAAGCAGTTGTAGGATGGCAGGTACTGTTTTTAGCTTCATCAGCAAAGTTGAAGGTTAATGTAACTTTAACCATTATAACTTTGCCACTTTGTATGGTGTGTAAATACTAACCTTATAGTTATGGTTTTAGTTTGAGTTTTAGCTCCTGTTCATGATATTATTGTAARTATTTTTGTCCTCCTATTATCATTTGTGTTTTCTTATGTATAGAGCTATCTTTTTCATCTGAGAATTAAAATTTCATGGAGCTATTTTATTATTGTGGTCACTCATCTATTTAGTTTTTAAAATAAGCCAATTATTCTGTTACTGTATGAGTCATAAATTTATGTTTACTCCATAATCAGAATAAATATTCCCAATACTTTTCTTTCTCTTTATTTTGGATTTTACATTAAGTGATTATGGTAGTTTTACTACTATATTAATCTCTACACATTAGAGAGGCTACTCCAAGGGCTTCCCATCTTAGGGCACAATGTTCTTACACTGACAGTAGCAGTATGTTTGTGAGGAATTGAAAAGACAACAGATAGAAACTGTGGGCGGAAGGACAACCAGCTCTGGGTGTTGACACCATGACAATTAATTGAGCTTAACCTGTTACCAGTCCTCCCAGAAGAGGCATGCCTCTTCACAAACCTTCTGTGACATGCTAGAGACCTTGCAATCACAACACACTGAATGGCCTCCGGAGACAACCTGAGCGCCACCCACATTTCTTTAGTCTGTTTGGGTAAGGGCAGAGAGATGAAAAAAGGCAAAAATGGAGGACTATCATTAGAAGGAAGATGTCACCTACCTTTAATGAGACGTTTTCAGAATCAGTGTTCAGATTCTGAAGTAAAGTGTCATTTCTCAGTTCAGCTTTCAGTTTATATACTTCAGCTTCCATTTTTTTTAAGGTTTTCTGAAGAGCTGATTTTTCTCTGTTCCATATTTCTTTTTCAGAAGCAATAATGGCTTCAAGGTTGGCATCACCACAGAATAAAAACCTAGAAGACTGAAGAGACAACAGCCTACTTATATAATTTCCTGCCCTTGTTGGTGGTACCAGGGCTTGAACCCAGAGGCACTCTACCACTTTAATCATGTCCCTAGCCCTTTATATTTTGTTTTGAGACAGGGTCTAAGATGCTGAGGATGGCCTCAAACTTGTAATCCTCTTGCCTCAGTCTCTGAATTATTAATTATTAGCATTATAGGTGTGTGCCACTGTGCCCAACTACTTACATAAAGAACACATCTCTGAAGAAAAAGCTGAATTAAAGATAATAAAAGTATCCCTATCATGGATATCTAGTCTTAGTTTTCATCCTCAAAGTCAATCTCAGCTGGCATTAAAAAATATTTACTAACTCCAAGTATATGGTCATTTTGCTGAGTAGATTAGCTTTACCCCTAAAAGTCCTTGGTGAAAGCCTAGCCACAGAAAAGGTTTATCAGATCTAGCAGAGCTTTTACTAAAAATGTTGAGAGAGTTAAGAGATGGACACGGGGGTCCAAATGTGGAGCCCTTACTAGAGAAGTGGAGATAAAAAAGAAAAAAAATAACCCAGTAGGAAGAAGGGAAGTGGTTTCCTATGGAAGCCATGAAGAGATGTTATCATCCATTTGACTGTATGCTTGTCTTACCGTTTCTTTCTATTTTTATACTGGGTAATTATAGAAACCAGCAATTTATTCTGTAGGTTTTAAAAAAATGGAAATATTTAAATTCCCAGAGTGGTTTATCAAACTGAAATATATAATTTCAAAGCATCTTCCACTTGAGTCATAAACACAGTAAGTGGTAAATAATGAAGACAACAGTGAGGATTCACGTTTGAACATTTCTCTACACATGTCTGCTGACAGTCAATACTGTATCTGTCTTTGGACATTCATAGACATAGATTGGATTATGACTTCAGGTCAGTTTTCTCAGAGTCTGGTACAGAGACGGCTCCCTCAACAAAATAATAGCTATTAATATTACAGTCATGCCTATAAAAATTTCCACAGATCCTCCTACACATCTGACCTGATGCTTTTACATTCAAAATTAGATAGCAGAAATTGTAACTTGGCACTACTTCTGAAAATGACGTACATAATCTCCACCAGTTCCTGTCTGTTGACAGCGCCTYAACTGCTCTTCCATCTTCACGACCACATTCCTCAAATTATTCTTTTCTTCAGTCAGTTGGCTGATATATCCTGTCAGTTCAGTATTTAGTCTGAGTAGTCTTTCAGTCAATGAACACCCAGAAGTACCTGGTAATACTAAGGTAGGCTGAAAAAATAAAATGGATGTAAGATCACACAAGCATAAATATATGTGAAAGTGTGTTGAGGCACTGAAAGCAACAGATTTCACAAACTGTTGCTTGGTTAAATCATAGAAATTTAGCAAGCAAGAAAAAAATCTAGTAAACAGAAGGAAAGGCACATATAAAAGCTCAAAGGTTTATGCAAGAGTATATTGCTTTTAGGGAGCTGTAAATTGCTTGGTAAGGCTAGAGAGTAAAAGCTGCTTCACTTATGAATAACAGACATAAATGAGGGCAATGGAGAGTCTTTGTGAGCCATGAAAGGCTTTCAGCAGGAGCTTGCCACAAAGTTCCTTTGGTAGCTATGTGCACAGTAAAGTAAATTAGGGTAGACACAATATCCAAGTGTTAGGCAAACTCCTCATGAGAGAGAGAGAGAGAGAAAGAGAGACAGAAAGAGAGAGAGACAGAGAGAAGAAGAAGAAGAAGRAGGAGGAGGAGGAGGAAGATGGGGAGGGGTGGGGGAGGGGCGAGGAGGAAGGGAGGGAGGGAGAGAAGTTTTTAATATTTATTTTTTAGTTTTCAGTGGACACAACATCTTTATTTTATTTTATTTTTATGTGGTGCTGAGGATTGAACCCAGCGCCCCGCGCTTCATGCGCATTACCCCTTGAGCCACATCCCCAGCCCTGGGCAAATGGGATGGATATTTAAGGAGGTAGAAGACATAGAACTTAGTGACTGCTTAGATGTACAGGTCAAGGGTGAAGGAAAACAGTGCATGGTGACTTGGGTTTTATACTGGGTGATGCCATGACCAGAAAGGGGGTCTAGGGCATGAGGAGAAAAGGAAGATGATGTTCAATTTGGAATGTGCCTGGGAATTTCCTAAGACACTATTGGGTATATTTCTTCTTCTTTTTTTAATATTTATTTTTTAGTTGTAGTTGGACACAATACCTTTGTTTTATTATTTTTATGTGGTGCTGAGGATTGAACACAGGGCCTTGCACAGCACTAGGCAAGTGCTCCTCTACTGAGCCACAACCCCAGCCCTGGGGTATACTTCTTAAAGAAAAGGTGTTAATAATGAAATGGACTTGAGTCCAGGTCAAAGGTCTATAATGGAGCTACTGTCTACTTGACAATAATCTTCATGAGGGTAACATTTCTGTCAAATTTGTTCATTGTATCCCTAAGACTTAGTATAGTACATGGCATATAGTAGGTGCTCAATATAAAATATATTATCACTTGGTAAGTCTAGTGAGCACTCAGGCTATGGGAATGATAAACATGAATAGATAAAAACATGAAAAATGACAGAAGAGGAACGTATGAAAGAAACCGATAAAGAAGCAGATGAAAAAATACTGACATAAAAGGCAAGAAAAGAGAAGGGTTCAAGAAGGTGGAAGACACTGAAAATGTCAAATTCTACAAAGTCAAGAAAGAAAGGGAGTGAGATTTACCAGATTAGTCACTTGTGAAGACACTGGTAGGATTCTGCAAGTGGTTTTATGGAGTGGTGAGGGTACATCTCAGACTGCTCTTTCAAAAAGCCTGGTCTCTTAAAAAGAGGCCAATGTAACTTGGCAAATGTTATATTTAAAATTTAATAAAAGATCAAAATGCTTATATAGCATATACTGCCAGTTTCAAATGATTCATATATATATTTTTAAGATGTTGATGGACCTTTATTTTATTCATTCATTTACATGCTGTGTTGAGAATCGAACCTAGTGTCTTACATATGCCAGGCAAGCTCTCTACAACTGAGCCACAACTTCAGCCCCATGATTCATAATTTCTATTAAATCTTTGCTGTTTATATTTTACAAAGAGTTTAAATTAAAAGTCTTACCTCTTCACCTTCTCCTCCATTCATCTCCGGGTAATTGGATTCTTTGGTCTCTCTTATTTTTTGCTGAAGAACCCAATTCCTCGTTCGAGCATAGCTCCAGGTGGTTGGCTGGAGATTTTGGATAAAACAAAACAATAATTATAAACATATAGTGTTTCATATTCTTTCTTAAAATGGAGCACAATTATTGTTTATATTCCAAATAAGGTTTATAGAATTAATTTTGAATAATTTTCACTTAACTATTTAAATACTTTAATCAATATCAAAAGTTTTTGCTCAAAGGGCAAGTAACTTTTTTTTTTTTTTTTAAATTTATTTATTTATTTATTTTTTGGCAGACACAACATCTTTGTTTGTATGTGGTGCTGAGGATCGAACCCGGGCCGCACGCATGCCAGGCGAGCGCGCTACCGCTTGAGCCACATCCCCAGCCCAAGGGCAAGTAACTTGCTCAAATAACTTAAAATATATTTAAAAAGAAACAAAGAGTCAATTTACCTCATTAAGATTCTGATACAGAATTTGCCTACTTCCTTTTTCTTCTCTCTCTAGTTCTTGCGTCTGAAATTCCAGCATAATTCCCTGCAATCGCTTTCCTTCAAGGTCTAACTTATAAACTTGTTGCCTCTTCTCCTCCAGCTGGCGCTGAAGATCTTCAACTTTGGACTGGAGCTCACGCATTTTTTTCTGCCCCTCAGTATTGGCCTCCTGTTCTGTCTGCAAYGTCTTCCTGTGAACCTGTCTATCTTTTTCCATTTGCTGTCTCATTTGCAAAGAATCCAGTTTGTATTTTTCAGTTTCATTTAACAACTCTACTATACGACGGTGTTTTTCCTCCAGCTGTTTCTGTAGCTCTATAAGTAGGTCATCTGAGGGTAATGATGACCGAAGCTGCCCACTACTGTCACTGCTATGTAGCTGTGCATGGAACTCCCGTTCCCTATCTAGAATACTACTCATTTCTTGAATTTGAATTTTTTCAGACTCAAGAAGTACTTGAAGCTCTAAGTTTCGGCCTTGTACTTCTGATAATTGGGCATCATATAGCATTCTCTGTGATTCTGTTTTCTGCCGTGATTCATTTAGTAGTTGTCTCTGCTCTTCCAAAAGTAGGTTTAGTTGAATATTTCTCTGTTTTTGATCCTCAAGTGAAAATTTCAAGTCCTTGTGAGAGAAAAATCAAATAACTTGATTCATTAAAAATGTGTTGTAGTGGCTGGGAATGTAGCTCAGTAGTGGAATACTTGCCTTGCATATACAAGGCTCTGGGTTTGATCCCCAGCATCCCCTATCCCCCCCCCCCAAAAAAAAAGCTTTGTAAGTACATGATTACACCTTTATTAATATTAAATTGGTAGTATTTGGTAATAGAAAATACAACTTTTGTTCAGTTTATTAAATTTTCTCTCGTTTGTGGAAGCTAGAGAGACAGGAGGTGAGGGGGCAGGGGGGGAAGGAATCTCATGAAAACAGAAAGAAGACCAGTAGAAGAAAGGCATCAAGATGGAGAGAGAAAGGGAGGCTGTGGAGAAGTACTGGGGAATGAAATCTAATCAATTATGCTCTGTTCATGTACAGATATAACACAATGAATCTCACTTTTACATACAATTATAATGTACTAATTAAAAAAAATAATAGAAGGCAGACCAGTAGAGGAAGGGAATCAGAGGAGAAGAGGCAGGTGAAAGGGGAGCTACTGGGGAATAAGACTGATCAAATTATGTTATGTACACGTACAAATGTGGCATAATGAATCTCACTATTATTGTTACAATGCACCCCCCCTTCCTCCCAAAAAAGCTTGGTAAAATAATAACACTTTTAATCTTAAATATTAATCTTACATGGTTAAATATGAAGCAGGGAACATTTCTCCAAATAACAACCTTTAAAAATGTGTTTTTGCRGCTGGGGAGCTTGGGTTGTGTTGGGGCAGCGGCCGCCGGCAGGAAGGCGCTCATCTCCCGCCCTGCCGACGCTGGTCCCACCTGCCTCACCCCGACCCGTCTCCTCATGACTGCTCCCGGACCAGTGGCCGACCGACGTCTCCCGGAAGCCCGGGTCGGGGGCCGCGGGGGAAGGAGGAGGAGGAGGTGGAGGGAGACCCGGTCGGTCCCGCGTCCCTCTCGGCCCGGCGCGGCTCCTTGGCCCGAGCCATGACCTCGCTGACCCAACGCAGCTCGGGCTTGGTGCAGCGGCGCACCGAGGCCTCCCGTAACGCCGCCGCCAAGGAGCGGGCGGCGAGGACGACGCTCAGAGCCGCGGCGACGAGCGAGCAGGATGACGACGACAAGGGTGACTCCAAGGAAACGCGGCTGACCCTGATGGAGCAGGTGCTCCTGCTGGGCCTCAAGGACCGAGAGGGTTATACATCATTTTGGAATGACTGTATATCATCTGGATTACGTGGCTGTATGTTAACTGAATTAGCATTGAGAGGAAGGTTACAACTAGAGGCTTGTGGAATGAGACGTAAAAGTCTTTTAACAAGAAGGGTGATTTGTAAGTCCGATGCACCAACAGGGGATGTTCTTCTGGATGAAGCTCTAAAGCATGTTAAGGAGACTCAACCTCCAGAAACAGTCCAGAACTGGATTGAATTACTTAGTGGTGAGACATGGAATCCATTAAAATTGCATTATCAATTAAGAAACGTGAGGGAACGATTAGCTAGCTAAAAACCTGGTGGAAAAGGGTGTACTGACGACAGAGAAACAGAACTTCCTACTTTTTGACATGACGACACATCCTCTCACCAATAACAACATTAAGCAGYGCCTCATCAAGAAGGTACAAGAAGCTGTTCTTGACAAATGGGTGAATGACCCTCACCGCATGGACAAGCGATTGCTGGCTCTCATTTACTTAGCCCATG